CACTCTTTCGTATTCATAACGATCTTAGCACTATTTCGTATTCATAACTACTTGAAAAGAGGCATCTGGAAACCCTGTAACCATATTACTCGGTCGGATGGAAACATTTCGTATGTTGATAAACATTTGATCGGCTAAAAGGTCGTAGGTCAGCCCTCTCAAAAGAGAATTCTTAGAAAAGACCCTCTTGTCATTAGGATATACCACTGTAGTCTGATGGAAAACTCTCCTTGGATAATAAGTCTTCTCGAGAGTATCAAAAAGGCGTTTTCACCGGTACCATTTTGCCATTTTATGAGGATTTTTGGAATCAGTCGAGGGAGTTGGTCATGTTAAGTGGTGGAGTCCGGTCCACATAATCAATTTGTTAATCTCTTTATTTTTTATATTTTACTCCCTTATGCTCTCTCTCTGCGTCTCACACGTTCCCGCGCTCCTGCCAAACAAACTTTCATGTTAAAGTTTTTATGCTACTTATAAAAGGGCAAGGCCAAAGCCTTTCAAATCATCCTTATCCCTCTCCTCAGCTTAAAAAAAGCACTTTTTTGTTTTGTCCTCTTCTCACGCGGCTTTAAAGAGAGGAGAGGAGATAAAAGAAAGTGTGGTTTCTTTTATTTCAATCCACTTCTCACGTGAGTTTTGTAGAGAGAAGAGAGAAAATAAATAGAGAATTATTTTCTTGTAGTCGTCGAATCGACGATGGTGTAATTTCCTCAAAGCAATAAAATCATTTGCAGTTCTTTGGACGTAGACAAATTTGTCGAACCACATAAATTTTGTGTCACCTTTTTTCTAGTGTATTTTTTTTTCTCATCCTAATTTCTTTTCATTTTTTATCATCGTTTTTCATAACAATTGGTATCAGAGCCCCGGTTCGGATTTGAGGAAGAACGATGGTCGGAGACGAAGTGAAGGTTTCAGGGATCGAGAAGTTCGAAAGCATAAATTTTAGTTAATAGAGAATGCAGATAGTGGACTACCTTTGTGGGAGGAAACTTCATCTTCCGTTACTGGGAAAACGATCGGAGAAGATGGACGAAGCTGATTAGAATATGTTGGATTGACAGGTTATGAGGGTTATTCGATTAAGCCTATCGAGGTTTGTTGCCCACAAAGTCATAAAGGAGAGGACGACAACATATCTTATGGTGGCCTTATTAGGTATGTATGAAAACCATCAGCGAATAACAAGACGCACTGGATGAAAAAATTATTCAATCTGAAGATGGCGGAAGATGTGTCTGTTGTTCAACATCTGAATGATTTTAACATCATCACAAATCAATTGTCGTTGTTGAAATTGACTTTAACGATGAGATAAGTGGGCTGATATTGTTGGTTTCATTGCCAAATAGCTAGGAAAATCATGAGGATGACAGTTACCAACTTTGTAGGTAAAAATAAATTGAAATACAATGATATTTGTGATTTGATTTTAGCTGAGGAGGTGCGCAGAAAGAATTTTGGTGAAACCTTAATTTCGAGTTCGGCATTGAATGTTGATTCCAGAGAGAGATCACATGACATGAACTCAAACAAAAGAAGATCAAAATCAAAGCACAGAAGCAAGAGCAATTCAAAGTCTGGTTAGCAAGCAACTTGTTAGAATTGTGGCAAAACTAGTCAAATAAAGAAGAACTGCAAAAATCCTAAGAAGACGGAGAACGTCAGTGCTAATGTTGTAACTAAAGAAGTGCAGGATGCACTATTACGTGCAGTTCATAGCTCCGCTAATGACTGGATACTGGACTCAGGGACTTCTTTTCACACATCTTCCCATCGGGAGTTAATGCAAAATTATGTTGCAGGTGACTTTAGGAAGGTTTACTTGGCTGATGAAGCAGCTTTGAACGTGGTGGCGAGAGATATTGAAATTGCACTCCCTAACAAAAATAAATGGATCTTGCAAAAGGTCAGACACATTCCTGAATTTTAAAAGAACCTCGTATCTGTTGAGCAGCTCGATGAGGGAAGTCATTCAGTAGCGTTCTCTAATAGCACCTGAAAGGTTGCAAAATGAGCACTGGTATTGGCCCGAGGTAAGAAGACTGATACGCTATATATGACTACTCGTCTAATCAACAATGCTGATACTACAGTTGCAGAGACCACAACAGGCTGTTGAGCAGCTCGATGAGGGAAGTCATTCAGTAGTGTTCTCTAATAGCACCTGAAAGGTTGCCAAATGAGCACTGGTACTGGCTCGAGGTAAGAAGACTGATACGCTATATACGACTACTCGTCTAATCAACAATGCTGATACTATAGTTGCAGAGACCACAACAGACATGTGGTATAGCAGGCTTGGACACATGAGTTAGAGAGGTATGAAAGAGCTTCAGTCTCGAGGCAAGTTACCAGAACTAAAGTCAGTTGATCTCGGTATGTGTAAAAGTTGCATTATGGGGAAGCAGAAGAAGGTCAGTTTCCTGAAAGGTGGCAGAGTGCCAAAGGCAAGAAAACTGTAACTGGTACACACTGATGTGTGAGGGCCTTCCCCAGTGGCATCTCTTGGAGGCTCTAGATATTAAGTTGCATTCATAAATGACCACAACAGAAAGGTATGAGTTTACTTTCCGAATCACAAATCTGATGTATTTACTGTGTTCAAAACTTGGAAGGCCATGGTTGAAACGGAGACAGATCTAAAACTGAAATGTTTGAGGTTTGATAATTGTGGTGAGTACATTGATGGTGGGTTCAAGGAATATTATGCAGCTCAAGGTATCAGAATGGAGAAGACCATTCCAGGGACACCACGGTAAAATGGAGTTTCAGAACGCATGAACAGGGTCATCAATAAGCATACCAAGAGCATGAGATTACATGCTGGACTACCACTAACCTTCTAGGCAGATGCAGTCATCACTGCAGTTTACTTGATTAACAGAGGGTCATCCGTCCCATTAGACTGTAAATTACCTGAAAAAGTTTGGAGCGACAAAGAGGTTAAATTTTCTCATCTTAAGACCTTTGGTTGTCTTACTTATGTTCTAATCAATCCTGATGCACGTAGCAAGCTTGAGGCTAAGTCAAAGAAATGTTACTTCATTGGATATGGAGACGAAGCATTTGACTATCATTTTTAGGATGATCAGGATCAGAAGTTTATCAGAAGCAAAAATATGATCTTTAATGAGAAGGTGATGTACAAGGACAAGGCTAGTACAAATCCTAAAGCAGCTCCTCAAGGATCGGAGTTCGTTAAGTTTGACAATCTACCAATGGTCACAGTACAGGGGAATAGATCTTAATGATGAGAGGATGGGTCCGGAGCACCCATTCTTATTATTCTGCAGTCAAGTTCAGAGTCATCTACTACTCCACCTGTCATTCACAGGTCAGTCACGAGTAGATGTTCACCACAAAGTACCTCACCAACTTTGAACTACATCTTGTTGACAGATAATACAGAACCCCAAAGATACGAAGAAACCTTAGCAGATGAAAGTTCTAGCAAGTGGGAACTGGCCATGAAGGAGGAGATGGATTCTCTGCTGAGAAATCAAACATGGGAGCTAACAGAACTTCCACCAAGGAAGAAGATATTCCACAACAAGTGGGCGTATCGGGTAAAGACTGAGTTTAATGGCAATAAAAGGTACAATGATAGACTTGTTGTAAAATACATTCAATAGAGGCAAGACATTGATTACTCTAAGATATGTTCTTCTGTGGTGAACCTCACAACCATTAGGATGGTACTGGCTATAGTTGCTACCGAAAATATATTTACTACCGAATAGTTGCAGATTAAGATGAAGACATTGAAAGTAGAAAAACAATTACAAGTTATGTTAATACTCTCGGTGATACTGCAATATCATGGGGCTCAAATCAACAGAAGATAGTTTCTTTGTCTACTATGGAAGCTGAGTATATTGCATTGCAGAGATTGCTAAGGATATGATATGGCTGCAGAGTTTCTTGGAGGAATAGGGTAAGACGGTTCAAAAGGACACTCTCTACAGTGATAGTCAGAGCATCATATTTCTTGCCAGAAATTCAACATTTTAATCCAAGACCAAGCACATTCAGATCAGGTATCACTTTATTCGATCATTGTTAGATGACAGACAGTTCCTACTTGAGAAAATTTGTGGAAGCAAGAACCCTACTAATATGTTGACCAAGGGCGTTACACTTGAGAAACTAAAGTTGTGCTTGACTTCAGTTGATCTTCTAGCTTGAAGACAAGGTCTTCAGTTGCAGAGGTGGAATATATCACGTTTGAGGAAAATGATGATACAACCAGTGGATAATGCAGTTTGTGTCCCGGTCTCCGAGTGTGAGAATTGTTAATTGGTGGAGCCCAGTCCACATAATCAATTTGTTAATCCCGTTTATTTCCTATATTTACTCCTTTATCTCTCTCCGCTTCTCACGCGTTCCCAAAGCTCCTTCAAGCGGTTCCCGCGTTCCTCCATGCGGTTCCGTCAAAGAAACCTTCCGACTAAAGTTTTTATGCTACTTATAAAAGGGCAAAGCCAAAGCCTTTCAAATCATCCTAATCCCTCTCCTTAGCTAAAGAAAAAAACACTCCTTCTGCGGCTATGCTAAGGAGCAGGGCCCTCTCCTCTTCGGCCGTTGTGCAAGGGAAAAGGAAGTTTGCTTTTCCTTTTGTTCAGTCCTCTTCTCATGTGGCTTTAGAGAGAGGAGAGGAGATAAAAGAAAGTGTGCTTTTCTTTTGTTTCAATCCTTTTCTCACGTGAGTTTAGTAAAGAGAATAGAGAAAATAAAGAGAGAATTATTTTCTTGTAGTCGTCGAATCGACGATGGTATAATTTCTTCGAAGAAATAAAATTTTCTGTTGAACCACATAAATTTTGTGTTGCCTTTTTCTGATGTATTTTTTTTCTCGTCCCAATTTATTTTCACTTTTTGTTGTCGTTTTTTACAACAGGTCAATGAATGATTGTCCTTCGGATTGGACAACTATTTCTTTGTTCCACTATGCTTCCGTTCGGTCGGCTCAAAGTTTCGACCGAAGGAAATAATGTTTGATGTTTCTATTTTTTTATTATCTTCATGTACTATTCTTTGATATTTGTAAGCGAGACCCACTGAACTTTCTTGAAATTCGTGCATACATATTTGTGATGTACAATAACTTTATACGTCCACTTAAAACATATATATACATATACTCTCCACGCTTAATAAAGTCTTTTTTTTAAATACTAAAAAAAAAATCACAAAATAATGACAAGGAGCATTTACACACACACGACCCGATATTTTTCTATTTAGATTTCTAACACAAAATTTGGCTTTTACATTAATGCCACTCAAACCTTTCCAATCACGTAAAAAAAATATCACGTTTTAACATTAAAAGAAATTGAAAAATGATTTCTCATGCATCAACAAGTAGGACACTTTATGATCCGATTTCAAGTTGAACTTGGTCGACTGAAAAATCAACTCAAATGAATTGAGTGCGGCTCAAAATCAGCTCGTGACTCGTTATAGTTGATTTCAAGCCACCTCAATTAATACTTTTATTGAGCTCGTTCGATATCAAAATGGATTGACTCAAATTGAGTTGTTTGAATTCTTTTCAACTAGAATCAACTTCATTCGACTCGAAATCAAAACTAGTTTGCTCAAACAAACTTTTTTTGGAACAATTTAATCTTTAAATAGGCTCAAAATCAGCTAGTGATTCGTTATGTTTAATTTTATTTAGCTATATGTATGTATATATA